CGGCCTCGCCATGGCGCCGCGCGGGCAACGCCCGGCCACGCCAGCTGGCGGCAGCGGCGGGAGGAGGGGTGGGAGGAGGGGGCTGGGCGGCGAGGGGAGGGAGGGCCGCCCCGGTCGCCCCGCTCGGGGGGGCGGCGCGGGGGATTAGGGGGGGGGGAGGAAGAAGGAAGCCAAAGGCAGAGGTTTTACTAATTCCTTGGATGAGACAGCCGCGTAGGAGCACACGGAGAAATAAGCAATAAATGGCTAGCCGGTATTAGCTTTATAAGAAACTAGTATTATAGCCCGCGCTTCGCCCCAGTTCTTTTGGATATTGACAACGAAAATCCTATTCCTACGTGCAAGTTACTAAAAGAACTCTATGTACTAGTTCATTTGGATCATAACCACCCCCCATGATTTTAGCTAACCGTTTCCAGATTTGACTAGTATGTAAACTTTTTTATAAAACCCGTATGTATGAATAGCATTGCTCTATTGACAATATGCTTATACTAGCAACACTAATAAATGTATAATTAGTCTTTACGGTCTGTTATGGCGCCGTAAACAAAATATGTCTTTTCAGATATGAAGTTTTATTCCTACATAATAATGGTATAATACACGCCCCTTCGTAAAACTAAATAAATTAAGATTGAGATGTCTTTTCATGATAAAACACAAACCCAATATTATAACTCCATCGATTTTGTGTATAATCAAAGCCCATCTTGAGTTTCTAATGTCTAAGGATTGCGCGGCTGCGAGGCGGGTGGCGGCGCGTCCGTCTTGGATCTGGCACTGGGATCCGGGTGGGCGGCGCGGGTGGGGCAGCGGCATGGCGTGGCTGTTGCTCCGGCCGTGGACGGCGGCGCGCGGGGGTCCGGCACATGGTGGTGGCTGTTAAGAGTTATATTAGTGATGTCTTTTGACCTTTTACATTCTAGTCTCTTGGCATCCTCTTGTAGCCTTTTGGTATCCTCATGTATGTGTATATATGCTGGCTTTGGCCTCTCAGTAATACATGTTGCATATTCCTAACATGGTATCAGAGCCTTAGGTTTTTTCTTTCCGCACGCCGCAACTCGTGCTCGATCCTCTCTTCGCGCCGCCGTCGTCTCTTTGCCGGTCGTCTCTTTGCACGTCTCACCTCTGCGCTCTGGCCTGACACGCTCCAATCCTGCGTGCCGCACGGCTCCCAATTCGATCTTCCGCCCACTAGTCAACCTCCGTTGACTGATTTGCTAGAGAATTCTGCACTCTACACACACCCGTTCCTGATTACAAGTCCCGTGGGCTCAAGTCAAGACTCCATGTGCTCATCGATCACACCGTGAAGTCTGCCGCTACTGCTCACGCCGCCGGCTGCCGGTATTCGCAGCATCTCGCCCAATACCGCCGGATTCTGCCACTCCCGCTGGTCAACGCCCGCTGCTCGATCCGCCAGTTGCTCCTTCCCGATTGCTGCTCTGCCTGGTCGGCTGCTTTTCTCCGGCGACGGCCGGCTTTTCTCCGGCGTCGGCTCGTTTGCGGTCGGACCGCTTTGACCTTCGCTCCATCTCCTCCTCGTCCGAGCAATACATCAGTACAAGGGCTGGCCCTCTCCCAGCTGCGGTCCATCGCTCGTCTCGCGCCCGGGGCTGCAGGACCGAGCTCGTCTCGCGCCTGGCAGCAGGCCCGAGCTTGTCTCGCGCCCGGCGGCAGGATCGAGCTCGTCTCACGCTCAGGGCTGCAGGACAGGACAATGGAGGCCAGCTTTGGCTGGCCTATTGGGTTTCGGCGTTGGGGACCATCCAGGGGTGCGAAAGGCGGGGCCTTTCCGCTCGTCTCTTCGGTTGGGGTAGCGACGGGTCTCGGGTCAGGTGGTGCCTAGGTCTTGGATGCCGGGGTGGCGGCCCTGGTGGTGGTAGCGCGGTGCTTTTGGGCAGAGCCCACGACTTGGTGCTGCCCAGTGGCCATGGCCGTGCGGGCGGGCGGCGTAGCAGCCGGGGTGTGGCGTTCGGTGGCGGTGAGTATTGGTCGGGGTGAAAACCTGTTCTTTCTTCGGACAGACCGGCGGCGGGAAGCTCATTCCCTTTTAGGCGTCGTCGCGGCTCTCATCGCTCATCGTGTTGCTCCAGGGGAAACTCTGATCCTCGGATCAGGCGGTGGCGGCGCTCCCGTGTCGTATCCTTCCTGAAGGCGCCACCTTGGAGCCCACGGATCGTCGTATGCGGCTTCATCTCTTTGTAGATAGGGGTGGTGTTGTTGCGCTCAGCGCTTGTGGATCATGCTTGGGTGTGTGTGTTTGTTGTGGTGGCGTGCATTTGTATCGGGATGTTGGTGATCATTGCTTATATAAAGCGGGGCGGAAGCCTTTTTGGGTAAATATCTTGACTTAGCTTGATCTAGTAATACGAACCCAAAATATTATAGTTCCATCAATTTGTGTGATTATTAACTTGTAGATTACTATTGCATGCCTTCATACCCTGTATTGTGAGAGTATCCAATGCACCCGAGCCTGTGGTGTTCCAGGTGTACCCAGTCTCAGTGCACTCATCCAGAAGTCATAAAACATTATGTGGAAAAAGAAACAACGTGTGGGCACAATATACACCGACCATGCTATAGAGTTTCGATTCAAAACTTAAAACACAACTCAAGAACTCTAAAAGGATAAATCTCTTAGTGAATAGTTGCTACTCTGAATTGGGGTGTGAATTGGCCCATTATCTCAATTGATAGTGTATTTGTCATCTTTGTTTTTTTCTTTTCAGATGATCTTTGTTTCACAAGTTATGTTTCAAATTTGGATTTAGTACAATATTATGTTGTCACTGTGTCTATGCACTCTATTTTTTTGTTGAGCTCTTTTGAAGTTCTAAAGATGGTTGCACCAGAAGCTCTGGTGCACTGAATACGTTCTCACCATAGTATTAGCCCACGGTTTTTTAGATGACTCATGTTGTTTTAATTTGTTATCAGATGCAGGCTGCTCATGGTGAAGACTAATAGCCTTAAACTGAGTTTGTTATGTGTGTTGAACCCGCCGACACTCCTGCCATGTCCCAATCCAACACAAGAACAGAGTTATACCATGTATCTTTCGGAAAAGATAAACTGAATGAGTTAAAAAAGGAAGTGTTAGAAGCTTCA